AGTAAAAAATATTATTTAACCTTAGATATGCGATCAGCAGGGACTTGTGCTTTTTTTAATCTCGTCGCACATTCGTGCACCGTCAGAGGGGTGCGTGAGGTCACCCATGTAATTTTGACATTGCCTTGGTAATGCAGTAAATCGGTATAACATTTTTTTATTGGTATATTCATGTAGTAAGTTAGCCTTATGACATCTTAAACACATCTAAAGACAGCGCATTCCATCACAAAGTAAAATTTCGTCGTTTGTATCGGAACAACTGTAATGGATCTGATGAAGTCAATGCAAGATTTCGTTAATGGAAATGCAAATTGTTGCCTCACTTACTACTATTGACTGACTACTATATCCTTTGAGATATCTCAAAAGAAGGCCGCAGCAAAAAAGATTTGAATCAAAAGGTTGGTGTCATGGCAAAAAGTAAAGCTTATGCTCTGAGCATCTTGAGAATTCATTCCATGCAAAAAAAGACTTTGAAATATTAGAAAAGCATTCCACTGACTGGCTGTATTATTTTTGAGGAACATTTGATGAAAAAACTTTTTTATTTCCCGATACATTTATTATGTGAAAAAAGAAGACTACGCTTTACACTTGTCTGTAAAAGAAATTCGCCAGCAGCGGTAAATTTTCGCCTAATCCAAATATCATTTTTTTTTTTTTTGTCTACGTTTGCTCTGCAGCCACCTAATGCCAGTTTTTGCGTCGTTCCCAGTGTGACCATCACTCTTACATTGAAAGCTTGCGAACTGTATTAGTTTTTCAAACTTGTCAAGATGACGGCATAACTTTATAAATAACGTGAGAAATACGCCCTAGCGATTCAGATTGCATTAAATCTGACAATTTATGGTTCTTAACTACGTACATACCTGCAATATTTCTAAAGCTCTATTCGCTTACTCACCTGTAAATAAAAATAAAAAAAGGTAATTATGATGTATATAAAGGGGATGGGGGGGGCATTAAATTAATTTTTTTTAATTTTTATTTTATTATTTGTATCTGTTCGTCGTATTTGTATTCTAGTATATGTTCATACCATTTTCACTAAAAAATGATCGCCGCCGCTAGACTTCAATAAAAATGTAATCCTGGGACGACAATCCCTTGCCGATTTCTCACATATATCTGACTTTTATTTCTTGATGAACAAACGTCATTTATTGGAGCAAGCTAATGCTTCAACATAACCCGGATGTACAAAGTCCATGATCGTTGATGCTTTCTCGTAATGAGTTGGTTGAGTTAGGAGATGAATGGCGTGTGGCCATATAACGTGCAAGACGTGCCGCAAAAAGCCAGGTATTATGTTTCTTTAACGTTCTCATTGTGAGTAATGCCATTTTGATATTCAAAAGTAAAGCTTTGAGCCTATAAGCAACACTCGAAAGTTAATTTCTACTCACGTTCGGGTCTCTTTCAAGCACAATGGGTGTATTTTTTTCCACCGGGGGGACAATGAATCTTACTTACGAAGTCATTTAATCAAATACGAGTAGTTCCATGCACTAAATTTTAACAATTCCTGTACCCTCTACAAGTTACATATGTATTATGTTTCGCAACACATACATGTCAAGATCCAGACAATATGTTGAAAAAAATAATGATCCAAATCTCAATGAGGATTGTCGTGGCAAATTAGATGATGGACCCACTATCTAAACAATGTGTTTACTAAATTGAAGTTTGTTTATTTGTTTTTTTTTTTTTTTTTTTTTTTTTGTTACAGTCATTAACGTCCCAGCGGCAGCTAAGCATTCTCCAAAGAATTGCTTTTAAAATTTCAATTACTTTATTCTTAATTAGTCGAGAGAATTATAAAATATGCAAAATAAATATTTTAAGATATATGTATTTTATAAATATGCATTTTAAACTAAAACAAAACGCAACGAAACAATTAAACTCCATTCACTAAATTTACACATCACAAATTCTATTTTTTTTGCGATTGTATGCAAATGCAGATTATAATGAACTATAAACATTCCGATAGATATGGGTATATACATATATATATATGTATGCACTCACAGATATGTGTTCATGTTTCCGTCTCTATATCAAATACATTCACTTAATTGCTATTATTCTTTCTCTTTCTTTCTGTCTCTATCCATCTCTCTCCCTCTCTCTCTTTTATCCTTTCACTCATCGTTATGTGTAAGTACATATAGGCAGGCATTAGCGGTATGAATTTTCATGTTAGTTTAGTTAGGCTTTGGAAGGAAATTGTCACAGAAAATAATATTTTCATTTAATGTAAATGCAAATGCGTTTGATAAATTTTCACATATGCGAACACACGACACGTTACGATATACAACCGCAACAACAATAATAATAACAATTAATAAAGGGAGATTGCTTTTGCCGATTACTATATGGCACTCTCTTTCCAATGAGGAGAGAGTTTGCAAAAATCTATGTGTTTGCGAATATACTTAGATCATTAACATAATTAAAAAATTTTGTATTAAGCGTAAAATTTTTTTTTTTGTATTGTCGTTCATCAGACATATGTTTTTATAAAAACCCACATCAGATCAGATCAAAGAAAAAGTCTTGACAAATATGTTTTTTTGATTAAAATATATCATATGTTCCTAGCGAGAATCCAAACCAAAACAGAGGCTCTGGAAGTTTACCCAACTCGTAGTAGCTACTATGCGCAAGGGTTATACTTGTTACAATCGTCTAAGTCATCATCTATAATCAAAAAAATAGTTCTTAAAAGGAATAAATAACGAAACTACATAATACAAAAAAAGGGCGCGGCTGGTTTTTTCCATTTTCAGAATAAAAGATGAAATTTATAGGTTGTATTTGTTGCGCTTTATGAGTAAAGCAAAACAAAAAGTACGGAATGCAAAAGTGTTCTCAACTTTCGTTACATAGGCTTGTGGGCATGTTGTAGGTGTGTTCTTGAAAAGCTTGGGCCCTTTTCATGTTCTTCTACAAGTTCGTGGGCGATATGTCTATTTTTGAAAATGCGAGAATATTTATCACACATACTACGCAGTTGCGCAAGAGACCAGAGTATTTATATAGCGCACTATAAAGTTGAGTGGCAGCGTCCGATTTTTCCTTTTTTTAGTTATACGACAACATCGCCCATAAAACATACAATACAGAGGTGTCCTCCCTTTACACAGTATTGTACACGTGCCCCTCAACCGATTTGGCCCATTTGCAACACCACCCTGCATCGATAGATTCATTTTTGCGGTCAGGAGAAACTTTTTAGCAAACATTATACAGGCCGACAGACGGCCAGACGGGCATGCTTAGATCGATTCACAATTTGATGTTGATCAAGAATATATATAATTTCTATGGTCTCTGAAGCATCTTTCTGCACACGTTTTGGCAAAATAAGTATACCCCTCGTTCTTTAGTGATGGACATACAGAACGTGTCTTTTCAATCAAATTTTTATTTATATAAGAACTTTATGTATTGTTTTACATAAATAAACAAGTCGTTGTGCAAATATTTTTGGAAATCATTAGACGAAGTATTATTATTAATGTATGGTAAACCTACTGCACAAGACTTGATACGTTCGAGAAAATTCTTGAACGACTATCTCCGCGGATGAAAACGTTGAATACAAACGTGAATAGAATTGTTATGGACAGTCGCCAATTGGAGATGTTGCTTATGATGTTGGAATATCGGCTTGTCTCATGCCATGCAATTTTTTCGCATATTTTGGGCATAAAACGTGTGTCACGATAATGCGCCACCCGGACTTGGCCGCCTGTGACATTCTCCTATTCTTAAAACTGAAAACATCCATGAAAGGGCAGAGTTTTGCCACGATTGAGTACATCGGTGACCACATTGGTGAAAGATCCCAAAACCTCTTGCAAAAAGCGCATCATAGATATATATATATATATATAAATAACGTATAAGGGAAATTAGTTCAAAGGGGACGAAGAAATAGATATTGATGAATGAACAAAAAAAATTTGTTCGGGAAAAATGCAACTTTTTTATTTTTTTTTAGCACACCACACCTCCTATTATTCAACCCCCCTACCGCCCATACATATTTCTGACATTAGTTTGCTATTTTAATTAAATTTCCTCATTAATTTAAATAAATGTAATTTTCAAAGAATCGCTTTTCCAATTTTCCATAATTAAACTTTCGATTTTCATTTAATTTTTGCATTTAACAGCTTCTTAATTACATGTCAAATCTTCTCTAATTGCAGATAAAATTAATGGAATGTTAATCAAGAAATCCATAAACGCGCGTGCCAAGCTCTCGAAAGAAAGAAGACCGTTCAAAATATTTACCAAAAAATGCTAAGCAGCAACAACAACAACAACAGCATCAACCTAAACACTTTCTACGACAACAACACGTTTTACGGACAAGAAAAGAGGATGAAATGCGGAACAAATTAAAGAGAGTATTAAATAAAAGAAAGCAACAGCAACAAATAATAAATCTGCACAATTAAGAAAAGAATAGAAATAAGTGAAAAATAATAAAAAACTCAATGACGAATTTTAGCAGAGAACGAGCTATAAGTAAAAGGAAAAAAGTCCTTTAAAATTTATAATTACGCAATTTCTTCTTTTCTGCATGAACTCCACGCGCGGAAATATTTAAATTGAGCGGGAAAGCAAAAAACTAACTTAACAAACTTTCTTAAGGCTAAGTCAGCAGACAAAAGTATTGGAGAATTTGCTCTTTCTTGTAGTAAACTTGAAACAAGATATAAAACAAAAAAATTAAAAAAAAAACAGGCTAAAAATTATTAAGCAGAAAGTACAAAAATTGTAAAAAGGAAACGTGACTCAAATATTTAAAAACACAAGCAACCATTTGCTTCGTTAGAAAAAAAAAAAAAAAAAAAAAACTTTATATACTTTTTTTTATCCTTAACTACTTTCCTTAACATTCCGCCAGCCTTCAAAGTTTATTAACCTAATTTTTTTCTTTTCACTTTGTGTTTTAATATAAATAACAGAAAATAACAATACAAAGCAGAGAAAGATGTCAACTGCATTACATTCGTATTAACGGAGAACATAACAAATTATCTCGAACGGAAGTAACAAAAATCCGCTTCTTTTTTTTTTTTTTTCTTTTTCTTTTTGAAAATGTGCCATTCCTCCTTATTTCAAACTGGGTTGACATTTGTCAATCGCGCCGTCGTCGTGACATGGAGATCCGTTACGCTTGGAAGAGTACTAATTTTGATAATAATTGCCTGCCTGATGCCCATCAAACATTGTGCCAAAATAGAAAATACTCAGATACGTTTACTTATTAACGACGAAGACTTACTTAATGAAAAGTTATCAGATCATGAAGCCAGCACTACTACTGTCAAAGAAAAACATGAAGATCATTATAATTTATATCGCAGCGAATTAAAGCGTTTATCTTACGAGACAATATATCGTATCTTAAGAGACGAAAATGAGCCCATGTACCGGCCCGAAGACGTTGAAATGAGATATTATCAAAAACGATCGCCATCATCATCCTCCCCGTCTTCGCCGCCGGACTGTCATCATCCTCGTCATCATAATGATGATGATGGTCACGATCTACAGAAAAGATCTTTAAAAGGAACGACATTGCTTAACTTAACTAAAATGAATTTAAAAAAATTTCCGCCGTATCCGCATGTGCTACATGATTACGAGACATTGCTTTCGTTGGATTTAAGCGAAAATTATTTAGAGACGGTAAACATAGAGGAGTTTAGTCGACTACAGTTTTTAAATTTGTCTCATAATCGTTTAAGCGTTACACCGTTGTGGCGAAATTCGTCATTAATCTCATTAAATCTAAACTACAATCGTTTGAAATCATTTTCTCCAGCGTACGACATGAAATTACGTGAATTATATCTTTGCTGCAATGAAATCGAGAGTCAGGCTTCGTTGAATTTTACAATTTTGTATAACTTGGAAGTGCTAGATTTATCCGGCAATCGTTTAGAGAGCCTAGACAGTTCTTTGTTTCCGCAAATGATGCATAATTTACGTGTATTAAATTTGGCTAATAATCAGTTCGTTACTGTCTATCGCGAAACATTCTATAACCTGCTAAGCTTAAACACGTTACTATTAGCGGGGAACAACATCAGCGATATCGATTATGAAACATTTTTGGCTTTACCGAATCTTCAATACTTGGATTTATCTTATAATCAGCTGCAAGGAAAGTCGATACGGGCTTTACAGGGTATAACGGGACTGGTGGCTTTATCGATCGCCTTCAATCCTCATTTGGGTCCATATATGCAAGAGTTTGTAGCCTCTTGGAGTCTAAAGGAGCTAGATGCCAGCGGAACGGGCTTATGCCAAATACCAGCAGCCTTAGCGCTATCAGTAAGATCACTGGGATTGACTCACAACTGGTTAAAGGTAAGCCAAGTAAAAGTAACGAATTTCTTTTTGTAGTTTATTTTGAAAGCAAAAATTTCAGTTTATTTTATACAATACAGTAAAAGAAAAGGCAGAACTAAATAACTTTCGGACTTGTCACTTTAGTCTTTAGTGTATTGGAACGTAATAATTTTGTAGTTCGTTTGCAATTAAAGTCATTGCAAATTAAGAAAATAAATGCTGCAATTAGGATGCCTTTGTGCACCCAGCATACGGTGACAGAGACAATTATAAAATTGCCAGTTAAAAGGAAGGCTTCCCTCTGGAATGTCATAAAATTTTATTCAAGCAGTAAAATATAGTATGTACTATGTATATATGTATTAAATGTACAAAAAAAATATATGATAAAATTTAGTCAAAACAACAAGTCTTACAATCGAAAACATCATTACACATCTGCGGTCTTTTGCCTCTTACCGCATTGCCTACCTATGTGTTCGTGCATAGGTAGATCGATAGATGTGGTTTTTAGGCGATATAGCCATGGGCTTATTTTCGTACATCTCTTTGTGCTGATCTTCTAAACATGATTGCATCGATCTATGAGATTAGTATGGCGCTTAACTGGAAGAGGCAACCAGCCCAATGTGAAGATTACTTCTGAGGTTGTCTTTAATGGAGACGGACTTAACCGGCGGTGTTTCACTAGTTTGATCAGTTTTTCGGTTTATATCGTTCAGGTCTAATCGCGCTTCACAAATTTCTTAGTACATGATTCTTTTCCCGATTCCATCGAACGCTACCTTTGAAGGTACTCTCAGGGTTCATCTTGACGACAAGAATGAAATTTTCTGCACGAAATCTTTGAAATCATTCTTAGTTCAATTCCTTGTTGCGTACTGATACCAAACCAGCTCAATAATTATTTCCTTAGCTTGAGTTGCATTTTTTTCGTTGGTTTAGCGAAGCTTTAAATGCTGATTCTTTTTGCTATTCGTCTATGATCTGCACTGGACGACAGCTTGTCGCAAACGACTGAAACTATGGTCGTGCAAGCGTCAATGTCAAAGTTGGTCTGTTCAAATTTCCAAAAAAATTAATGCAGCAGACGGATTGATTCTATATTAAGTAATGATTAATTTTAACACGGAGAACTTATTTGTATGCCTAATATTATGTGAAAGTGTTATTATATACATACAGTATGCTATTCGTTGTTCGGTTATTGATGAAATTAAAAATTAGGTCATCGCAAAATGTAAAATAGGTTGGAGGGAAAGTTCTGTCGTATTTTAAAGAATTCATTTATAAAGATACGCGTTTAATATTAATCAATTGTATATGCTCCGGTATTTGCTACAACCTGTTGGCATCTCTCAAATAATCAATGAATTCCTGCTTTGTAGAAGTTCTCGTCCTTAGAGTTAAAATAGTCAGCAACTGCCTTAGAAATGCTTTCAAAAGAATTGAATTTTAGGTAATTTTGCAGAGATCTGAACAGGTAATAATCAAATGGTGCAATGTCAGGTGAATGCGGTGGTTGACTAACGGCTTCCCATCCTAACGCATTCAGTTTTTGTTTTTGTGTCACCATTGCAGTATGCAGTCGAGCATTATTGTGGTGGATTACTATTTCTTTTTATGTGTAACCCAAACACTTTGCTTTAACACAGACACAAAGTGTGTTAATGTGACCTCCAACAGTTGTACCATAAATGCCTAACTCTTTTGCAATCATTATCGATCTTGGATGGTCGTCTAGGTCGATCACTTTCTTTTAGGCTCAGATCCCCGGAACGAAATTTGCGAAACCATCTTTGACAAGTACATTTGACAAGAACATTTACCATATCTTTTCCAAATACCGCATATAAATTTTTACATGCAACCGATACATTGCTTCCTGTTTGGAATTCATACAAAATGCAGCGTAATAAATGCACTTTATCTACTGACATGTTCTTCGCTTTAAATATCACAAGTAAATGATGAACGGTAATAGAAGTTCCTTTTATATTATACAGCAGTTAAGAAAACAAAAAAAAACAAAAAAAAACCGAATGACTCATTAGCCAGAGTTTTTTTTGTTTACAAGAAAAATTACCTGGCTATTTAAAATACGACCGAGCTTTTCCTCCACCCTATTATTATAAAAGCAATAACCAAATAAACCGAAAATAAAAAATTTTACTTTGTCAGAGAAGGGGACGCGCTTTTTTGGTCCAGAAAAAACAAGCCAATTCAACTTAGTCGGTTTTTCATTCCTAGTACGTTGAATTATAGAATTTATTTAGCATAAATTTTTTATATTCGTTTTTCAGTTTAAAATCACACAAACGAAATTAGCTGGTTTAATTTTTTAGTATAATATAATAGAAAGAGAGCAACCAAGCAACCAATGGTGATTACATTTGATGTCCCGCAAAGACACATTTTAGCACCTATCTTATTTAGTGCCTTTTTAAACGACGTTGTCTCGATCGTAGCTTTCGCTTATATGCTGATGAAGCACAAATTTACCTCTCGCGCCCGCCTTGAATTGTATAGAGTCTAGTCCAGCGAATAAATCATGATTTAGAGCGCGTTACCCTCTGGTCTGATTTTAACGAGATAAAGCAAGATTCAAGCAAAATTGAAGCCATTGTAATATCACCTAGGGCTATGATTTCTGTTCCTTACCACGCATCAATGCGGTCGATGGAAATATTGAGCTTGGTAGTTAGTTAGCGCTCAAGAGCCTTGGCTTTAATTAAACTCATCTCTCGCTTGAGCGGGGAGAGACATGATGGTTACATAGAGTTCATGCGTACTCGTAATATTTTACGAACACTCTGGGCCTCCTTATCTTTTATATTCCAGTTTTCACCAAATTAGTTGCTTAAGTGTCTTGTTGTGCAGCTCGTATCATACGGAGCATATGTATGTAGTAAGTTAGATTATGTTTCTAACAAAAATTTGCAAGTTGGCATAAATGGCGCCATGTACGTCTTCAATAAGCGGAGATATGATAGGATATTGTCGTTCTTCCTACAAATAATAGGTTCTCGACACACATTAGAACCCCTTTCTTAGTGCACAATGTCTTATGTTTACATGAGAAAATTCAGTTCGAGAAATCTAAGCAGACGATGAGTCTTCTTCTGCCTGGCGAAGTACCACACCAGCTAACCATGTAAAGTTATGAAATTCGTCACCACTCTAACCCGAGTGGATTTTAAGGTCATTATAAAGGCCTTTTATAATTTATGATCGTATCTGTATCTGGACTTTATGTCCTATATTGTGCGTATGTTATTTACATCTCTACCTTTAGTGTTGTTCACGATTACTTTAATTAATAATCATAGTCGCGATTATTATTATTGTATAACGAAGTTTTCATTACATTAATTAATAAATGTTATAAATAACTTATTGCGACCAATGCGTTTATGTGAATAATTGACCTCTGTCTACTCTGACAGTTTATGTTGCCCCTATTCGTGAACGAAGACTACTGCATTTCGCTAAAAACGCCCCAATCATTACATTGACAAAAGCAATTTCTAAGCGATTTTTCCATTTCTATCCGCTGATGTCGGGGGTTAGAGGGTGTGTTCTTGCTTCTTGCGGTACAGGGACCAGTTGCCACCGTTGGTCGGGGATTCTTGTAGTTATATATGATTCGACAAAGATGGTTTATAGAATGATGAAACAACGGAAAACACCTTTTTGGTAGCCAGGAATGCCTGTGGCCGCCAACCGATTTGGCTATCATTGAAAATGCAAAAATTCTTACTTCAACGGCAATTCATAGTTTAATAATAACTAGCTTCTACATGGTGTTTATGGTCTCATGGTCCAATAGTGTCAGGGCCAATTACCTGTTAAATGGTGTGATATTCTTGTTGTTTTTAAGTCATATTTCAGATACTATCTAGCATTTCAGTTTTGTCGCATGTGCATAGGTATTTTGTAGTGCTATGCTTGATGGTCAGATGGTCAATATCTACAACAAGGAAGCCAGATAACATCTGCGTAGGCAAGAGCTGGGTACATAAATTGGAAAAATAATCAATCTTCGCATGCTTTTGAGTGGTGGAACCAAAAGAAAAGGGGATGAAAGAGTTGCGGAAGTTTCCACCTCAGACTACTTAGTATATACTTGATAATAGGCGACCAAGATTGGGTTTATTTGAAAGCTTAATAACAAATCGTCGAGGAGGGTTAAGAAATGTCGAGGATACGAACCCCAGCCACCACGTGCATTGTATATACCCTTGTTGTAGCAAAGCGATGTGTAGTTCGTAGCTACTGAAACCCAATTAACTGAACCTTAACGTATCCAACCACGCCACACGGCAATATTGTGCTATATACTCTACACATCTTTAATAACAAAATTTAAGGTCTAGTTAACAGTGGAAAGAGGAGGAGGAGATAAAGTTTCGGAGTGTACATTGAATTAATAACTTTTCACACAAATGGCAAAAAACCTAAAAACATTAGAAAAAAAAAAAAAAAATGGCAAAGAGTATGCTTTGCTGTAGAGAGTAGAGTGAAATTAGCAAATTAATGACGAACATTAAAAGAAAATTTAATTGGCAAACATTACAAATAATAAAATGAGAGCATTCAACCTCACGCTGCCACTAATTACAGACTTTTATTGGTTTAATTCGTACGGTTGCCGTTTATTCATTCGTAACGCTACGTAAAGTTTTACAGTGTGCGTCGTTAATAATTACTTGGCCTGAAACTCTGCCATAACCTTTTATTTGCACAATTTCATTGCCAAACATATGAAAATGTATCAAAGCGGTGGTGAAAAGATTTTAAGTCAATACGTTAATAGTGCACATTAACATGTGATGTATTCACTTACACACGTACACTTACATACGGAACGCAGGGCATTGGATATTTATTGTGTGTAATCTGCTTTGAAAAGTAGAAAGTTTCAAAAATCTCTGATGGTAAAATTGCTTTTGCATACAAATGAAGGCCATAATATATATAAAATACCCAAATCATATTCAGAAAGGGATTACAAGTTAAGCTAAAACATAAAGCTAAGATATTAAGGTGCGAAGTGTGAGTTGTGTTTGTCTGATATACATTATAGTTGGTTGTAAAACAACAAACATTAAGCAACATCAGATATATATCCGTTGTTCGACTCGCCGAAACAGACAAATTTACAAAATCCCATAATATATAAATCGCATGTAACCGCACATTAACATATAAGTTGTGTTTATTTTTTGGTCATACAATACAATCACGAAAACCAGAAGCATTATATTATTCACATAATGATTTCAAATATAATGCAACCTAATCTTGGTTGTGAATGAAAGAATGTTTCTTCCTTTTGTTTTTTTTTTTTTTTTTTTTTTTTTTTTGATTGTGTATATGCAGGTATTCATAATTTTATATAATTGCTCTCTAGAAATAACAATAAAGATAAAGAAAACGAACCACAAAAGAACAAAAGTTTTAAGGCCTATAATTATCATGTACGTACACACAATTGTGTAGATTTAAAGAAAGGGAAAAAAGAGGAGAGAAAATAAATAGAAAAATAAAGTAAAGAAGAGCAGCAGCATATGCTGAAGTTTTCCCTCCTGTTTATATATTTTGTGAACATAAAGCAATTCATTACATATATATATATATATATGTGTGTGGCTGTTGTAAACTACATTTAAAATGGGGAAAACACAATTAAAGCATGTTTTCATTTTTTGTTTGTTTTTTCTCATCACCTTTTGTCTTCGTTTATATCAGGCATTATAAAGTTTAACTTGCAAAGTTACATGCTTTTTATTTGCTTGCTTTTTGTGGTAATCAAAGCATTTAAATGCGAATGTTGTTGGGATAGTGGATGCTTTGTCAACTTCCTCTGAGAACACACTAACTGTGCGGGATCCTTTGAAGTTGTTTATTTGCTGCCCTCCTTCCTTACTCTAATAGCAAAACTAAAATGAAATTCTCAGATTTGGTTTTTCGATATTAAGAAACCACAGCAAAATGGTTAAATTTCACTTTTAGAAATAAATGTCTGGATTGTACACTACAGAATAAGTGTAATATCTCACTGAGCAACAATGCTGTAGAGGATTAGTGGACTTAATATATTCACAAGGGCGATTCGATTTAGCCAAAAAAAAAAAAAAAAACAAAAAAATTATTGTAATCGCCTTGCCGGGTAACCCAAAGATTATTTTTACGCTCAAAAGCATGTTTCATCGATTATTATGAAATTTCTAACGAAAATTTACATTTAGGACCTACGACTTTAGATAAGTCCTTTAAAAGAAGTAGGCAGAATTAACGCCCAAAAATATGCTTTATATAATTTCGTGATTAGGTGCAGATGTGTGTATTGTATCGATTGTTAAAAAAAATTCACCTTCAGCGCCTAGAAGTATACTTTCTATATTATTGTAAAAAATAAAGCCCAAAAATATGCCTTACCGATTGTTGCGAAAAATTTTTCTATCTCCCAGAAGTACACATTGTATCGATCATAATTTGATTTTTTTTTTTTGACGCAATTCATTTCCTATTGAACTTCATTTTTCATATTTTTCTACGTTTAAGATTTTCGAAGTCTGTTATTCGCCTCAAGGTAAACTACGGGTAGTACCGTCCCCGCAACACTACTTTAAGATACTTAGTACAATTGGAAAAAAAAATATTAATGAGATTTGCATTATTTTTCCGAGAGCGATTCAGTCTCTCAGTTACAAAATCAGTAAAGTAAATCTTAGCCGAAAATGGCATATTTTTAATAGACGTTTCGAACAAGCCAAGTACATACACCGTAGGCCGCTGACCTTAATGAAAACTGGTTTCTAAAGAATTCTTAATAAGAGAAAAAAAATGGTCATAACGGTAAACAATAAGGCTTTTGTTTTGGACATCGAACAGTCTACTAGCGACGACTTAATTTTTTCTCTTACTTTTTTTAATTTTTAAGCTTGCTTGTTTGTGCCAAACGATCCTGTCATCTTCATTTTCTAATCGGTTGGTTTTTCTACCCGATTAGCTCGAAACGTCTGTAGAAGATCGCCATTGTTTTTGTTCCCTCCATGTGACTGGGTTCCATAAATCCGGTTTAACCTTCACTGGATGCGTTTTTATTGCATGCCACGAGTTTCTCTTCTCTTTTTTTCCCTCTTTCTTCAGCTTGGCTGGCTAGTGAAGCTGTTCGCGATGCACACATGCATCATATGCATTATATGCATACATACAATGTCACGAACTTATGAAAGCCCAGTCTTTTGGAATATTTATGTAAGCAGTGATGAGTTATTATTATTATTATTTCCTATACTCTTAAATTCTATTAGTCGTATCGTGTGCTAGCGACTAAGATCTATCTTCTACTCTATGCCCTCCTTGTTGCAGTGCTTGTTCGATTTCAAAGGGTTCAAATAGTATGGTACTCTCCCCACTTCTAACGAACGGACCAAATTGATAAATGTTCGGAAACGAAGAAAATAAATTTTTTTGTATCTATTTTGACTTATCTCCAGGTACTTCACAAAAAAGAAGAAAAAACATTTTAATCTCAGTAATGTTTTATGTTACTCAAGATTCATTCCCAGTGTTATTTATCAATATATATGTAGAAAAAGGAAAGTTTGGTTACTGCTGCGTATTTTTCCCAAAGCAAACACAGACGTTGATGTTGCTGTTGTTGTGGTTGTTGTTGCTTTCTAACATAAATAATAGAGCAAAGAAAAATTATGAGAATAATTCTTAAGACTTATGACTCTAGGGAAAGTTTTACAAAGTAAAGAAACAGGCTTGCTATACGCACACGTACTTGAGCTACAAAAACATTAGCGACGACAACAAAATAAAGCTAAACAAGACAAATAAAAAAGTAGAAAACAAATAGCAACACATTCGAATGAGAGAAGGGGGAGCATTCATTAAACAAATAAATTCTAAAACCAAAAGAACAACAACAACGACAACGACATGATCTCATTAAACAAATAAATAAGAGCGAAAAGAAGAAAGGCTAAAAGTATTTTAACATACACACATGTATATACATATATATATATATGTAAACACATATATAAAATAATATAAGGCTAATTTATTACATTGCGTAGGAAATGGAAATGAAAAAAAGGCAAAGCGAAATTTTCTAATCGGTTTAATTTTGTTGTTTTATGCGGTTTATTTACAGATCATTAATTGCGGCGACTTGGACAGCTATCCATTGCTGCAATATTTGGATTTATCTTTTAGCCGAATTGAGGAAATCGAAGACGACGCTTTGGGTAGATTAGAGATACTTGAAATATTAATGCTCGATCATAATAGTCTTCGTAAGGTGCCCATGAGTTTACCCAATTCTTTGGAACATTTATTTTTGCAACACAATGATATAATGGATTTACAACTGACATCGTTTCAAGGTTTAAATAATTTGCAGACTTTGGATTTATCCTACAATAAATTGCTTTATTTACCGGCTTTACCGTTGCCTAAACTGCAAACACTTAATTTGCAATCGTCCGACCTGCGTGGCATCAATCAGGCCATTGTGCATACTCTGCCAAGGCTGAGTGATCTAATGTTGGAGGAAAATCCCATAAAATGCAGCGATTTATTGGGTATCGCGGAATGGGCGAGTAGTTGCCGTTTAACATTCAAAGAGGAAGAAGAGCAAGAATTTTACGATAAAACGGAAGCCAAAGAGACGACGACGACGATGAGTAGCGATTTAAAAAGGAAATTTATTAAAATACATAATTTCTATGAAAAATTCCAAGACGAGAAACAAAAACATGGAGAGCAAAATGAACGAAAGAAAAGCGAAAATTTAATGGAGGAAACTACAGAAGAAGAATTCACTCCGTTTTGTGCGCGAGAGGTGGAAAGAGAAAAAAGTTGCCACGAAAATGAAGAGAAAACCGCAAATGTTAAATTAAATATTAAAAAAGAAAATATTTCGCAAGAAGGTCTTAATTCAAACTTTGTGGCAGTAAAAACAACACCAACGCCAGCAACAACAGCAGCAACAACAACAATAACAATGTTTTCCACATTAGCACCGACAGTTGCACAAAGAACTTTATCATCAATAGAAATAAAAAATAATGAAGCAGTAGTTACGGATGCAGCAGTTCAGACAACGGATTCAACAAAAATTGAAATAAGACAAAATAAAAAAGAACAACAAAATGAAAACAACATTAAAAATAATAATAAGAACAAGATGAACAGCAGCAACAGCAACAGCAACAGCAACAGCAACAGCAATATTACCACAAAAACTTTACGGAATTCTGTAACTCGCAAAGAAGTTACAACAGTTCCTGAACAACAACAACAACAACAACAACAACCACAACCGCAACAACAACACAGTAGACAGCAGAAGAGAATTACGGAAATTCCAATACTGGCAGCAACCAGAGACCAGTTGGATGCTGCTGCTGCCGCAGCTGTATTAACGGAAGACATACCGAATACAGTGCGAGCTGAACGACGTGCCAATCACAATAAAACTTTCAGTGAAAAACAAATGGCAGCAAATTTATCAGAGTTGCCAACAACAACAGCTGCAACAGCAATTATTTCGGCCAAAAAATCCGCAATAACGATATCAGCACCACCAGCATCAGCATCAGCACCAGCACTAACTCAACCAAAAGTCATAAATTCTTTAAAATTCAAAACCGCAAACAAAACAACAACGTTTACTATAGCAAGTACAACTACAAGTGTTTCTATCACTCGGGTACCGCGAACAGATATGAATTTCGAGTTAAAAGCATTAAATTCAACCTTAGGATCCACAAATATATATAACCGTGATAACCCGGCGAACACCGAAACCAACACCCACAACGTTAATATGTCCATTAGCAATAAAAATAAAAATATAAATCACAGCAACAACAACAACAGCGTTAATATTGTATTAGCTTCAAATATGCAGGCACTTAACAATAAAGATTTAATACCAAACAGCAACAGCAACAGCAACAGCAATAACAATAACAATAACAATAGAAAAGCCAATGGCAATACTACGACTACTAACAATAGCAACAACAAAATAATGATTGTCACATCATCATCATCATCATCACCGTCATCATCATCATCATCAACGTCAATAGCATCTCATGAAACTAATACATTGCCAGTAAAGTGGAACAAAACAGCAATAACAGCGACAACACCAACAATGACAATGGCAACCACCATAACGAATGTCGAGGACATGATGATAAAGTACAAGAAGAAACACAATAGCAGTGATCATGCGTTTGTTGAAAATGATGTCAATGCTGTTGTTAAATGTATGCAATCAAACTCGAATGACGTCGGTGGTAAGTACATGAAGTTTAAATGCAATTTTTAGCGTATTTTTAGCGTTATATATGCCACAGAAATATAAGAATATACATACATAGCGTGCACAATGCATTTGTATATATGTAAACAATAAATAAAATTGATTTAAGCGGATTTCACTTAAACCATATATCGTTGAAATTTGAATGACAGCTATTTTAAAAAGGACGCTGATATGCCAAAGATGTCTAAAACGACGAAATGTGGGTTAATATAATATATGCGACCTTTAAACATATCGAACCCGCAACTTTTAGATTATGAGAGCGGCAATCAAAAATAAAATGTAAGAAACACAATTGCACTCTTTCAGGATTGCATTTCAACATTTAAAAGTAAAGCCGTTGTGTGCGATAAGGCAAACAAAAGTATACTCTCGTTTCTTAGAATATTTATTATGCTTACGCGGATAAAACCGTTATCTCAAAGAATACATAAAACGCAAAACGACCTCGTACAAGTTCAATCTAATAAGACCCAGGAATGAATTTAGAAACAGGGTATTGTAAAAACAATACCACAGGGCCAAAATAATGTAGAAAAAGTCTCGTTTCTGTTTATTTTTAAGAACATCTTCTTTTCACACTTATCGCTAAGAAAAGCATCAAGCTCTCCTCAAATTGACTTTGGGCTTTGCAAAAATGCTCTAATTGAAAAATTTGATTGCATCTTATTTTGTATGAGAGGAAAGAGTAGTTTGTATCCAAACTTGTTCCACGTGTACCACTTTTCGAGATGCCAATGATACATATAACTGCTTTCAGCAAAGTCAATCATTCTCTTTCATGGTCGGACGCATTGCACTGCACGACAGTCGCACAGATTAGGAGGAAATTGATATATGGCACTTGTAATGTTTGCTCGATCGGCAAGACAAATGTATTTGTCTTGATTATCTTTTTCTGTTTTCGTCAGCACATCTGTGGAAACATTGACTTACTTAATGCAACAGTATAAGTGTATACTCAACGAAATTATTTTTTAAAAGACGAAGTAGTTTTCAAAATTTTAATTTTTCACCCTTTAGCCATTAGTAAATGTCAAGCCGTGTCCTGACGGATAGGGGAAGAAAAGAAACAGTCGTGTATTAGGATTTAAAAAAAAAAGGTTTAAAATGTCGCGAATATTTGTAATTGAAGCGATTAGTAAGCAGTACTTAAAGATGTGCAAAAATAACCTAAAAGTTAACCTTTAGTGTAGACGCTATTATTTCTGATCTGCGTGTATATCCAGCAAAGCAATTTTATAAATTTTTGCTTAGACGTAATAAAATTGAATTTTTGAAAACATGTGTTTTTTCCAGTAACGTTATCTTTTGCTTTGCTTTTATGCTTCTTCTTTAGAGTGCATTTCCGTTGAACCCCAGCAAGTAAAGCAGCAACAGAATGAATTGAAAAATGAAGAAAAAATTGGTACATTGCCAACAACAATGGCAAGACAGGCCATAACAACAACGTCGAAAGCAATGACATCTGCAATACAGCAGCAGCAGCAGCAGCAGCAGCAGCAGCGGCAACAACACCACCAACAACAGCGTCACAGGCATGAACCTTTACAATTACAGGTTAGAGATAGACATTTGATAGGTACGCCACTGCTAATGCATAAAGGAGAAAATCTAATGGTAGAAGCAGATGAGCTAATATTAACCAAAAAAAAACCAATGACCAAAGCAACCATTGAAACCAAAGACGAGATAACCAAATATATTAAGGGTAACGATGCTTACGCCGATGGCCGTCGAGAACAACATCATTTAAATATGTTCCTGGATAAAAGCCAACTAACAAAAGCTTTACGAGATAAAGAACAATCTGATTCCGAAATGAGTTTGGCAACGGTTAAGACGACTATTCAAGCCATAAAATCGAACGCAACAGAAGTTACCATCAATAAAGCAAAGAAACCCTCATTGGTGATGAAGAAAATGACTATCATAACCAAACAGCATGAACCACAGCCACCACAACATACCTTTATAACAAATAAAGATAATGAAGTCATAGCAAAGACTTTCGATAACATGAATTTTCAAGAATTAAGGCCTAAAGAAACAAAAGAAAGCCATGGCCATAAACACAGCACGGTTAATACACCATTACACCAAATAGGAGCTAAGGCTATATACGAGCCGCATACCTTTCAGCATGAACATGATATGATAATGAAACAATTGCTGCAACATCAACAGCAGCAACATCAGCAGCTGCAGCAGCAGCAGCAGCAGCAACAACAACAACAACAACAACAAAGACAGCAGCAGGATGTAAAAATTTCAAAAACAGAGCATTGGTTAGATATACGAAAGTCGGATAAAAGAAATTCTCATTCCGGCCTAGTGTTGTTGATGTCATTGGGTTTGTTTGTTGTGCTTTTGTTAGGACTAATGCATGTGTATCGCTGCGATATCCCGTGGCGGCGACACATCTCCGCGACCTCTGCCACTGCCCAATTGCGTCCCCATCAACGTCACAACTCTTCTATGGAAGACGATTCACATAGTTTTCTAAGCTACCAGGAAGGCGTGCAAAAATGGCATCATAGTGCGCGTCAACAACCGCCTTATAGCTCACCCCTGCATAATTTGCATGTTAGGGAATTGCAAAAAACCTCGGCTACCGAAGTCATACCAATAGTAAGAACCAGTGCTACGACAAACATTAGTACAAAAAGTCAGCAACATTGGAACAATAGCACTTTGGCGGCTCGTAATAGCAGATGTTCGGCAAATTCTCAAAGCACCAGTTCCAGTACAGCAAGCAGTATATCAGCTTCTTCCTCGGCCATTCTAGATGACGAATCATTTTATATTGAAATGACACCCGATTCGGGGCAAATAGCGTGTGCCCTCAACAGTGAACTATTGCCTATGGAATTATTAAATTTAGCCAAACAGAAACAATCAAGACGAGACCTCACGATTAATTCAATCACACAAACTTCTATGGGGGATGATCATACGGCACCGCCGCAACAACAACGCATAATGCATACGCAAACAGTGAAAACATTATCTTCAACGTCATCGTCATCGCCTGCTGCCCCCTCTATTGTTGTCGCTGATACAAAACAACTGGCGCCGAGTGCGAGAAAATTCAGCTTATGGTGACAAACATTGCTACAACGTCAACAACAATACGCACCATTTCATTAAGAGACTGCCGCCTGCCTACGGTGTGTAAATCGCATTGTCTTCACATCGTGTGAACGGTGATAGAAAATCATGGAATGACAAAATAATCGTAAACATCGTGTCGTCGGTATGTATGTATTATTGAATGCGTATCAGTTTTATTATTATAGTGTAAGTTTGAAATAGTTCAGTAGTTATATATATATATATGCTGCGTATATGTATGCATTAAGTAGTTGTGTAAGTAGTTATGTTTTTCCTTTATCTTTTTTTATAAATTAGGATATTTTAACAAACTCTCAAAGTGACAAAATGACATTAAGAAAAACCAAAAAAAAAAAAAAAAAAAAAAAAAACATAAAATAATTATAGGCACAGAAGATATTCAAACTATGAGGCGACTTGACAGGGATCTTCTAATATATCGGAAGTCTCGGAACGGAATTTCTCAAGAAACGATATTAAGCCAAACATTTTCGTTTTTTACCATAAAGCGCTCCCTACGGTTGCTTGCTATGCATATATGACACATCTTAGTGATAGCTACCAGAATTTTAGGTGAGTGGGTTCACTTTTTAGTAATGGCGCAGGAAATAAGTTTTATCGTTTCACTGTGTCTCTAGAGTTTAAAGAGGAAGCCAAGGAAGAACTTCACAATCTTATAAGTAACTGAATTTTATCTGGATGTTTTCACGTATCCATAATGGCAGGGAAAAGATAATTAACTTCGCCGTTGTATCCAGAGTTTATTTATCATCTTGATAGCAGTAATGGCACTGTTGTATGTAGGCGTCAGAATCATAGGTCGATAAGTTGATGTATTTAACTAACTATTGCAATAGTGTCCGCAATTCCTCTTCAATGTGTTTGTGTGATGCAAGCTTTTCTGCATCAATACTTATTAATAACAAATGAAATTGAGAATTACGCTTACGAGATCGACAAAGAGCAAAAAAAAGTAGAAGCCTGGGATGAATCCAGAGAAGAGAGAAACCGGTGTTGTTACCCTTGGAACTTATTACCACTTGTTCTGTGTTTGCACAAATACATATATATCCGAGATGAAAAAAAGAAATCGATGATGAATTCAGCAAACAAACGGCCAGAGTTACTTTAAAAACAGTTATGCAATTTTTCATTCAAATGCTGATAACTGCATGACACGCTGCTAATCAGTCCATGAGATTCGACCATTAAATTTGGCAAGAGGAACTTTACTATGCTGTAGTCCACTCACGTTCACGACGTTTGGGCCTCGATGACGCTCTCGTACGTGTCTGCTGTTGCGCGTCACATCACATTTTGTCGCCTCACTTTGTGACGAAAGTAGAATGTAATTGATGACACCATCTGTATTATGGTAATCTCTTCCAAGTTTTAGGCGCGAATTCGAATACACACACCACAGGAGGCTGATGGCAAATGAACCATACATTCAGTATTTGAATTAAAAATTTCATAGCTGCTTTAAAAGTGACCATGGCGCTGCGTTTGCGTTTTCTTCTCAGAAGTTTCGTCAATTATATAATGTATATATATATATATATTGCAATTAAATAGAAGGTGTAAATATTAGACTGATTTGCGTAAATTGTAAGATTAAAACAGTATCGGTTCGTGGTTCTCACCAAATTCCTATTTGTATACCTCTTTACCAATGAGCCTCAGATTCGCTTACGGGGCATTCGTGAGTACCTTTTGTCAAGACAATGAATTGAAGAGAGTCATGCAACACTTTAAACAAACGGTACAAACGTGAACTATCACAACCTCATCGACCATGTTCGGTTGCCAACGCAAATGTGAAATTCTACATAAACGCATCGAGCGCTTGGTCGTCTAACTCATGAGTCTCTTCTCAGGCACGCAAGTTGGCGGGCATTAATATCTGGTAGTAAGAAAGTAAATTAAAGCCGATATTAATCAATCAGTTTGTAAGAAGCGAAATTTAGACAATTAAGATTCAACTTGGTGGCCGCCTCTATTTAATCATATCTGAGACACTTACCATAAATGTTAATGTTCTTCACATATTTACCAGTTAGTGTTGTTGTTTATATTAACAAAATGTAAAAGAATGTTAAGCCACAATGTTCTTTGTTTCTAGAGCAATTAACTTTGTAGCATAATATCTTATTAACATTAACATAACTAACAAGCTGCGCCGACTTATCGAAATTGTCCACGTTTTTAAAAACACAAATAGAAACAGAGCAGAGCAGATTGTGTATATAACACATTGTTTTATCCAGTGCACGGGGCAGGTACAGTGCCCCGCATACCTTCTCGTATTGACGATTATCCCATATCTTCATCTATCTATCGGGTAGTTTGCATTCAGAAATAAAACAAAAAAAAACTAAAACTAACTAAAAACTAAACGTATTAAACAAATTCTTTTAAAATCCTTGAAACGTTTCCTTTTTTTGTTTTTGTTGTTTTAAGAAAAAAAAAGGGGTGAAGGAAAATATAAAAGAAATTTATTTAATGGGCAAAAACTATTTTTCTTAATGAAAAACAAGAGAGAGAAAACCGGATTAAAAGATGTTTTGTAAAAAAAAAAACGAACTTTCTAACGTTAAAGTTTTAATGACTAAAGTATAAATCAAGTAAAAATTTTCTTTTATTTTTACATTCTACTTTCTCAACTTCATCCATTTTGCGGGAACGTGAACTTTATAGGTAATGATGAAATGTTGCTTTTATTTTTTTAATTTATATTTTAGTGAGTAGATCGACAGGCGAATATATTCGTTCACGTGAGCAACGCGTTTTAGAGACTGTCGTCAGTCAAAAGGTGAATCTCCTTATGGCAATACAAGTCGTTTTGAAGCTTAAGTGCGAGACTGATATTAACAGAATTGATATTAAAGAAAAGGCCGACGATCGACTAGTCGCCCCTGTCACTAGCCTATAATAAATTCTTTTAACATCTCGGATACTTACTTTTCTCTTTCGATCTGGCATTTTCCGGTTAATATATATCGTGTTCCTCGGTTAAAATCGCCTTTCACTGAATAATATTCAACATATATATGTATATATATTTCTTTCTCAAATAAATGTTCAGGTACGCGCAATCAAATATATTTTTTATAAAATTAGTTTTCGAAAATAAAATAAAATTAACTCTTCTTCCGTTCAGCGGATCCCAATTAAAGGTAATTCCTATGAAACGCCTTTCTAACGAGGATTAGTCAAGTTGCTTTGTATAAGATATAAAATATAATTGATTTAAAGAGATGAAATCCAAATTGGTTCTTTGGTTCAGAGAGAATATATGTCGCAAAGAGGCGGAATCCCGACATTCCTAAAATTTTTAAAAGCATATATGCATCCGACCAAAAATCTTCAATCTTAAGTGAAATTTTGTTGAAGAGGGTGGAAAATCGCCAGCCGAATTTTCGTGTTTTTAGATGAATGGGAAATTCACGGTCTGCTAATGCTGGAATATATTCTTCGGTACTTTTTCAATAGTGAGTTCTGGGGTAGTAGGTGAATTTTCTTCTTTCGTAAGAGTGCAGTCATCTCTAGTCTCTAGTCCAACAATCTTCGCGGGTAGATGGGTGCATATATCATTAGAAGCGTTTTCATCCGTGACTTAATCACCGAATTGGTATTCCTTTTCGTGGGCGTAAACGTTTTGTTGTTCCGTAACCAATCTGATTTGAGAATATGAGTTTGGTGGTTTTTGGTTCTGGCTCAGCCTACGTTGCATGTTCGCCACCCATCGTTTTCGCTTGCTCAACAACGTGCAATAATTCATTTTGCGTTTTTACTCCAATCCCTACGCTCAGCGTTGAACATTTTGTAACTTGGGTTACTCAAGGCAGTATTAAACGTCATACACGGAGAATCGATAAAATGAAGGGATGTGCTGCTGCTCTTGAAAGCAGTAGTTGATGCAATTGATTCTGCTTGTAGTTCCCATATACCGCCCATATTCCCACCCAGTTCCCATATACCCCCACCACCCTCAATTTCTGTACTAACTAGCGAAAACACTGGTTTGCTACAATTTTAACTTTCCCCTGCGCGACTGTTAATACTGCCTTGAGTTGAGTAATCCAAGCAAGCAAATAAACTCTATTCTTCGTGAAGCAAATGGCAATGAAGATACGAAATGCATAACGCCGATCGTAGGAATTGGAGTAAAAACGCCAAATGAAATGAGAGCACGTTGCTCTGACCAATCGAAAACGATGGTTGGCGAACATGCAACGTAGGCTAAGCCAGAACCAAAAACCACCAAACTCATATTCTCAAGTCCGACTGGTTTTGGTATACGAAACAACAAAACAGTTACGCACACGAAAAGGAATACCAATTCGGTGATTAAGTCACGGATGAAGACGCTTCTAATGATATATGCAGCCGTCCACCCGCGAAGATTGTTGGACTAGAGACTAGAGATGACTGCACTCTTACAAAAGAAGAAAATTCACCTACTACCACCAGTACTCATTATTCAAAAAGTATCGAAGAATTTATTCCACCATTAGCAGAACGTGAATTTCCCATTCATTTACTAGCACGAAAATACGCCGGGCGGTTTTTCCACCCCTCTTCAACAAAATTTCACTTAAAATTGAAGATTTCTGGTCGGATGCATATATGCTTTTAAAAATTTTAAGAATGTCGGAATTCCGCTTCCTTGCGATATATATTTTCTCTCTTTGAAGCAAAAGAAACAATTTGGCTTTTTCTCCAATCAAAATTTATACCTATATAAAGCAACTTATGTTCTCGTTAGAAAGGCGTTTTATTTTATTTTCGAAAACTAATTTTATAATAAATACATTCGTGTAAGACGCTTTTGAAAATTGCAGCCCGCCGCGTGACCGTGCTGAACTGCAATCTTCCGAGAAATGTTAACAAAATTTATATTAGACTACAGAAAAGGGGCGACTAGTCCACTGTCAGCGTTTCTTTTATGTAAATTCGATCAATGTCACTGTTGAGGTATTGCTTCAGAACGACCCGTATTACCATAAGGAGGTTTACGCGTTGCGTTTAAGAGCATTCTTCAATAAAGACATTCGCCTGTCGATTAAAACCCCCGCCCTTCCGATTCTATCCCTATGCAAGTACGTTGCTTTTGCCTGGTAAGAGGAGAAAAAACTGAGTTATGTATAAACGTAGGGGACGGTGAATAGTATAACGAGTGTGCTTTACTTCGCTAGGAAAAAATTTTTTTTTTTTTGGTTTTCACACGAAACCGTTCCCAACAACTTATTAAACGCTCAGATAAATTCAGAAAGAGTAATCGTATGGAAGTATAAAAAATGTTTGTATTAAGCTAAAGCTGAAAGGGGAAGGCATTATTAATCCTTAAAAAATCGACCAATGCTTGAGCGGAATTGTGAAAAGACATTAATATAAAGGCAATGCGCTGGCGATTAATTTTCATTTGAAATCAAAAAATAAATAAATTTCAGTATTCCTTCGTGTGATGTCATCCATCTTGGTATCTTGGTAAACTTGATATTATCTAAAACCTTAAACCAAAACCGCATTGCCATAAAATGGCAAATCTTTCCATCCAACAATTAAAAAGTAATTCTAAATATTTCAACAACACATAAAAAATCATTACCAATAAAGCGAAAAAGAAAAAACGAGTAACGAATAAAAGGATAGGAAGTTTTTTTTTTCTAAAGCCACAAATTGTTGTTGTTGTTGTTGTAATATTTTATTCCATACCATTCTTTTTTGCACTTCACTGAATGTTGTCGTGATAAATTCACGCACATACACATATATAATCTCGTTGTGTTGCTTCTTTCTAGTGCGCTTATAAATCCAGTGAAAAGAAAATAAAAAGACGTTACTGCTGCTCTTGTTGTCTGTTACCGCATGGATTAAAG